CACACAGCAATTCAAATCAATTACGGTGAAATTGACGATTGTGTCGTACGACTCCAAAAAGAAAAGTAGCTGTGTAAGGTTGTCAAGTTATGTCGCGGAATCTTCAATAATTGAATAAAATGCACAATTTTAATTTTCTATTGCAAAACCTGTCGGAACGAACGGAATACACGCTCCATTAATTTGCTCGCTCCGAAAAGAACTGTTGCAAGTATGCTTTATGATCGATTGTGTCTTACCCTAGTCCGTGCATAATCGAAGCTTCCTCCTAGTATTCGGTTGAAGTTATTACTTGTGTAATCATAACACATTGTTTCATTCCTCATCGCAAGACTTTTTCCTATCCTCTATGCACTGTAGTGCAACACGAGAAATCGTCATATCGCTGTCAACGTACGCAGTTTTATAAGAGAATTCCGTCTCAGCACGACACCGATCGCACACTGAACGATTTCCACTCTTCGATCGCGACAAACATCGATCATATCGAAAGATCTGTTCGGAAAACTTGTCGAACAGTGCAACAGTGTCAACCTTCGGCTTTGTTGTGCGTCTATGTATCCATAGAAATGTTCGCATACAATCACGCGTCGATGAATATCTATGATCGCGGACAGCCCTCCGCGCATTATGCCAATGAAACTCCGATTAACTTAAAGTCGCTTCTCCACGTTCCCACAAACCGTAGCCATAATTATTTTTTAGCTTACAATTCGCAAAATAGTTCAAACATTCATGTGGAATGCAATTCTATCGAATTTATTAAGAATATTTGTTATAATTGTATAGGTAACATCTACGACGTTGACACCCTCGTGTCCACTTTTAGAATGAAGATAATATTTAGAATCATTTATTTTTACAGACTACAAACAATCGTCTTAATGGTTAGCTGTCTTTATTGTCCTGTGTTTTACTTGTATCGTACATCAACGAGAACTTGTATGAGAACATGTGTTAGAAGCATCTGTATCGGTGTTTCAAATGTAACTGATCTTCATGATCTTCATGATCAATACTCGCAATCAATAAAGTGACTGAGACAGTTTGTCGTAGTTTTCAGATGTTGAAGATTTATTTCTATCGAGACCTCGTGAAGAAGCGCGCCTTGAATATTTCAACGAATAATTTAATATATCAATAATGTCAAACGCGTCGGCAAGGGCAAATATAAATTCTGAACATACCCTGACACCGTTCGGATATCAAAAAAATAATTTGAAGCCGGTAGCACGTAAGTTATGGCAGCGTGGGGATACAAATATCGGCAAGGAGAATGGAAACCTACAGAAAGAACAATGGGATGAACTGGAGTCTCCACAATTCGTCGATTTTTCCAAATTGCCTGAGATCGATGACTCGTTTTTCAGTAAGTGAAAACCCTGTTATAATTCATATAATTCATTGCGCAATACTAATGACTAAATATTTCTTGATCCTTTTAGGCAAATCGAGGGTAATCGTGAGTACTCCGAACGTAACTGTGCAAGATACGTTTAACGATAACGCACTGATCGAGTAAGGGTTAGAAATATGATTTTATTTTGAATATGCTGGTCTCGAATGTTTTTTAATATTTTAACATGTTTTCAGATCTTTAAAATCTTTCTCTTTGTCTGGAATAGATTTTGCTTCGCCTAAGTTAGAACAGTGCGACGTTGACAGCAGAAACGAGAACACTGAGAATGAATCCGAGATGAACAACACCGTCATCAAAATGGTACGCAATTGAAATTCATTCGATCGGTTAAATAATTCTCGATAAAGACTGAGGCAAATGTTTTAGGATAAGAAAAAACCAGAAAAATGCAAGCAAGTGAAACAACAACTAAACATTCCTACAAATCCGTTCAGAAGACCATTGAGATACATACAAGAAATTAAACCAGAACATATTAAGAAGGTACTTGACCACAGTTCGCGTAAGTATTGCAACAATTTATTCATTTATTAATTATCGTAGAATGTAGAGGAAGCAAAAAAACCGTGGGTGTTTCGAGCGAATCCTGTTCCTAAGTACCTAAAATTACGAGCAACGGTGACCAATGAAAATAATAAAAACACTAACAACAATGTTGGGAAAGCGAACTGTAATACCGTTGCTAAAGACCAGAAGTTATCAAGTTGTCACAAAAATAAAACGAATGAGGAGGCAAGTAAACGTGCGGCTCTCAATAATTGTTCTACGATAGTGTGAATTATGTAAATATAAATTTAATATAAATTGGATAAATTATAAATATGGAAAGTAAGAAAGATAAAGATCAAGAAATAGTGTGCATTTGATAAAACTACTCTCACTGTTCAAAGTGATTCTTTTTTCATGCTTCTTGACGCAAACTTCACGTTACTAATATGATTTAGGTTTGGAACAAACCTCCGATTCTGCCTTGCCCAGTAAGGAAGAATTTAATGAGACCGAAAACTCCACCCCTTCAAACGGCGATACGAGCAGAAGAAAGGAAACGATTCAATAATATTTTAAAGATGAAGGAATTGGAAATGCAACAACGTAGGCAAATGGTAATTTGAATCATAATAATTTTATAATAGCTTCCTCTTATTATATTGAATAAAATATTCGGATAAAGCCACAAATTTTTATACTGATACAAATAGGAGCTTGCTGCTAACAAGATTCAAGAGGAGAGAGAAATCGCGCTCTTAAGAAAACAAACTGTCCATAAAGCACAACCTGTTCCAAAATATAAATTAAATTTGCCAAAAGTACCAAAACGACCGTTGACTGATGCTATAAGCCCGTTGACATTGAAACGACGTCGTATAGCAGGTCAATAATTGAATTCATACTAATAGTTACGTTTAATATAGTTAACGCGATTTTTATATCTTTGACGGAGCATGGGTTTTATATCATGATGTGCTAAATAAAAATTTTCTTTTTGAAATATATTAATGTGTAGACACATGTTAACATGTTTTTGTACATAGGCATGTACATAATTATTTGTGATTCTACAGAAATTTCCGTTTAATAAATGCAACTTCGAGAATTAAAGGAAAACAAGGGGGAAAAGAAAGGGATCGTTTCGTCCTGGTCTCGCTAAAGGACTATCTTAGTTACAGTTACATATATGTAAATAAAGGCAATGAATGAAAATGGGAAAAGTATTAATTTATAATTGCATAAGGGTTTTATACGCTATATCTTACGTATTTATTATTTATACTTCGATGGCTTAGCTAAGTGCATACATGTTGTATGTTTACTTTTTGTGAAATTCTATACTATGTGTAGAAGGTTTAGTATTTTATAATATAAGAATACATTATTAATAAAATTAAGAAGTTTAATAATAATAATTATTATTTCACAATGTTTTAATATCAAGAACACATAAGGAAATGACAGATAACAGATAATAAATATCATATGACTAGGATTACACAATTATTTGTTTAAACTCTTTAAGAAATCAAATACCTCATCCAAAACATCGCTTGAAAATTTGATTTCTTGTAATTTTATTTAAAGTGTGTAGATAGATGGTAATGATATATAATGATTTCTTATTTCTTTATACCCATGTTCACTGCACGCAAATTTTAATTTAACAGTTTTTCTAATAATCTCTAGATTTAATAATCTATATTGTATTGTTTGATGTGTGGATTAAGACCCTGAAACGAAAAATTGTAGCTCTCTTCTCGTTTTCGAGATATAAACTGGCTGGTAACAAGTATGCGCTGGTCGTTGTGGATTATTTTACGAAATGGCGGGAGGTAGTTCCGTTGCCGGACCAGCGCGCGACGACTGTTGCGAAGGCCCTTCTTACAGAAGTTGTAAGTCGTCATGGCATACCATTGGAAGTCCATTCGGATCAGGGGAGAAATTTTGAGTCGGCGGTCTTCAAGCGGTTGATGGTGCTGCTTGGTATTAAGAAGACTCGCACTACTCCTTTGCATCCACAATCTGATGGGCTCGTGGAAAGGTTGATTCGGATTCTGCTGCAGTATTTAACAATGTTTGTAGCGGATCATCAACGGGACTGGGACGATTGGATACCGTTATTTTTATTATCCTATCGCTGAAGCAGACACGAGACGATGAAGAATACTCCATCGATGATTCTCACTGGCAGAGAACTTCGACTTCCAATGAATCTTCAGAGAGGACTCCCGTCTGATTCAAGATATGAGGAGGACGAGTTTGTTCAGCAAACGCGTATCAGACTGGCTAAAATTCATGAATTTATTCGCCAGAGACTGAGAATTAGCGGAGACAAAATGAAATCTTGGTATGATGTTTACGCTAATTCAATTACGTTTGCTACAGGCGAGAAAGTATGGCTGTTCCAACCACGAAGGACGAAAGGAAAATGTCCCAAGTTGCAGTCCGCGTGGGAAGGTCCTTATGTGGTACAGGACCGCCTGAACGACATTATTTATCGTGTAACTCGTTCTCCGAAATCGAAACCGAAGATCGTACACGTTAACCGCTTGGCTCGCTACGACGCTGTACACAGAAGCCTTTGACTGTCTCTCACCCAAGAAGAGGACGTTTCTTCGCAGAAGACGAGGGAGTGATCTGTGTACTGACACGCTGAGCTCTTTCCATTTGTGGAAGAAACGGTTCGATGGGAAAAGGAAGTTGTATCCTCTGGAGAGTTACGTCCTCCCATTGTGGCGTGAGGACGTGTTCTCAGGAGGGTACACCCTTTCTTGACTGTTCCACAGAAAGAGATGCACCGGATCTCATATTACTGCAGGTAGTATCCTGTGGTGATTGGAGGTGCATCCGGGGAAGAGTTTTGGTGATTGATCAGAGCAGGGAACTCCCGGGAAGTCTNGGAGGTGCAACTCCCGGGAAGTCTACAAGTGAGAAGTTCTCAAAACTTTTTCAAGAAAGAAACGCTCAAGCCTCAAAACGAAGAATTAAAAGGAAGGGTGAGCGACAGAGATTATAGCTGTACGCGTCGTAGAAATACTGACGTTCTGCTCAAGGTTTTTTGATGGTTTTCCCTTGAGACGGAGGACAAATGTCAGGACGTAAACTGTCTGGAAAAGGCCACCTGGGTGACTAATTACATTCTTTCGTTGTTTACCTATTTTTAAGACAGAAGTACTTGTGGTGGAGGTTACCTGTCAGTTGTCCGATGGAACGTTAGTTCGAGGTTATAGGACTGAACTGGCAGGATTAACGGTTCGATTGTCGTTGGTCAACATAAGTGAAATTTGCCGGTCGCTGATTCGGCGGGGAGGGCAGTATTACCGCGACTTGTCCAAATCAAGTCGCTGTAATGTGAAACTGCCCTGTTGTGAACAACTCCTTAAAAATAATAGTAGATAGGGGTTGCCACGGAAGAGTGTTACCAACGGACAATCGAAGAGTCGAAATCGGACCGTCGAACGAGCAACATTTCAAATTGAAAGATCTGAAATATAATTGTATCGAGTTGTGTTATAGTTAATATTCTTTATTGTAAATAAAATACTGCAACGCGAGAGAAACGGTGTGATTCGCAACAATATTAGAGTTCGGGCACCAACGTATGAATGATACGGTATTGGCAAACTAAAATTCATGCACACATGCAGTTTAGCATCCAATCATTGGCAATTATGTATTATTTTAATTTTAACTATTTTAACAGCCGAAAATGTGGGGTAGCTGAGGTTATTTGAAGTAACTTTTTCCTTCGCGAAAATGCAATCTGCGGCATTGTTTACGAGTTATTAACGGAAAACACTGACCAATGAGAGGTGACAGCGCGAAGTTCGAGAGCCCGCAGCACGAGGCTTTGACAGATGGTAGGGACGGACTCGAGCCGCGTTCGAAATATTTAATAAATCACGAAGCGAGAAATTCCGGATTTTTTTTACTACGTAACAGTGATATTTTTAAGAAAAACGCTGTTCACCTTTACTTTAGAACGTCTGAAGAATATTTACTAATTTTTCGGATCCGAAATAGTAAGTAATTTAACCATAACGGCCGTTTTAATTTTCTAGTGTGCATGACACCTTGTGTGTAACATATGAAATTTTTAAGCAAGGTGTACAGTGAAGATTAACAAAGTACGTAAATGATATTTTAATTTAAATAATTTCGTGTCCGAACACAGTTCAACGAATGATTCGCAAAGCTAATTTAATAAATAATAATCGTGTTAAAGGACGTAAGGGATATGTTTGTTAGAGAAATATGAAGAATATTATCAATAAGATACTCACCCATTTAGTTGTAAAATCCACTTCATGTATCCGACGGCGACGAAAAGAAGGATGTCTCCGGGCAGGAAATTTCAACGTTTACTTTCACTGCATTATCACTAAACACTTATCACTTATCAATAATATTTATGGACCAACTTTCCTGGGTTAATATGTATGGCCCTGAAAAGAGCCGATTGTTTTATGCGACGCGTTCGAAGTTCTCACTGTTAGCGACACGTATGTACCGCGTTGTCGAGACGAACTGCAGAAGACTGGCATGATGGCCAACAGTGTTTCGTTTTCCTACGACCTAATTTCAACTGTTTCCCATCGAACGTGAACATTGTCAGCCATCGTGCTAGTCTTCCGCAGTTCATCCCGTCAACGCGGTATGAGTTCTTAACGATATGAACTTCGAACGCGTCGCATAAAGCAGTCGATTTTGGTTGGTTGGTTGGTTGGTTAGTTAATTAGTTGGTTGGTTGGTTAATTGGTTGGTGGGTTGGTTGGTTAATTGGTTGGTTGGTTGGTTAATTGGTTGGTGGGTTGGTTGGTTGGTTGGTTAATTGGTTGGTTTGAGGAGGTGGGATCGGCAACAGAAAGAGAAAATCGAACCCGATTACAATCGGACTAGTTTTATTTACAATCACGTTGGTACAAGACTCGCGATGCCCGCGCACTGCTCCCAACGAAGGTTCTTACCGAACTGTCCTATTCGCTCACTCATGCATCCCATCCAGATCGTTCTTTCTCATTCTCACGGTTCGCTTTCACTCTAAACTGCCTAGATGCATTCATTCTACGCGACAGTCACACCAATCGTCTAGACATCTGCTCGACGCTATCGCACAGCATGCAGCCCGGTCCATTCGTCCAAACATTCTTTCATCTTAAAACTAAACACATGGCGGAGACGTGGCGCCGGCTTGTCGCCGCCACATCACCCCCCCGCCAGTGATTGACTCGATCACGAAACTTGTAGTCGGTCCGGGAAACGCACTCTTCTTCCGGACCGTGTGGTGCGTAAACCCGCACCTGGTGGTACTATTATGGGGGGCGGCAACGCTGGACCCCGAGATGGTGGCGATGGTTGGGGCGGCTGCCCCGTAAACTCGCTCGGAGTGGGTGGTGATGGTGGTGTCGGTGGTCCCTCGGACTCTCCAGGTAACGCTGGCTGTGTTGCCCCTGGTATCGTCGGCGGTGCTGGATCTGTAGCCAGCAAGTACGCCGGCTTTAGGCGATCTATGGTCACTGTAACCGCCTTGTCCCGGATACTGAGGGAGTAAGTCCGGTCCCCTCGGTCGAGGACCCTGTATGGGCCGTCGTAAGGCGGTTAGAGGATTCATCGCACGGCGTCGTTACGCACGAAAACATGCTCTGCCGTGGCGAGGTCCTTAAAAACGAAAACTCGTTTCGTCGAATGATTGCTGCCAGGCGTTGGGGCGAGGGTCGCGAAATGCCCTCGTAATCCCGCGACAAAGTCCCCTGGCAGCGGCAGCGACTCCGCTCTTTGTGGGACCAGGAATTCCCCTGGTAGGCGCAGTGTCTCGCCGTAGACCAGCTCAGCTGCGGTAGATTGTAAGTCCTCCCTCCAGGCTGCGCGGATGCCCAGCAAGATGGTGGGAAGAACCTCTGTCCAGCGGACATTTTGCTGGCAACGGATTGCTACCTTAAATTGGCGGTGGAATCTGCCCACCATTCCGTTTGCCGCCGGGTGATAGGCCGTTGTCCGCCAGTGGGCTGCACCTGTTAGCTGCGACAATGCCTGAAACAAGCGCGACTCGAATTGTCGACCCTGGTCGGTCGTCACGCGCAACGGGGTTCCGAACCGTGAAATCCAACCCTCGTAAAAGGCGCGTGCCACGGTCGAAGCCTCTTGATCCCGAATTGGGAAAGCCTCGGGCCAGCGCGTAAAACGGTCGACGCAGGTTAAACAGTACCTGAACCCCTCTGAGACCGGAAGAACTACAATGTCTATGTGCACGTGCTCGAATCTTCCGGTCGGCGCGTCGAAACTTCCCGGCGGCGCGAAAACGTGCTTATTTATTTTGGCGCGCTGGCAAGGAACGCAACCGCGAGCCCAACTCCGGCAATCGGCTTTAACGGACGGCCACACATATCGTTCCGTCACGAGTCTCACCGTTGCTTTAACACCTGGATGCGCCAGGCGGTGCATCGAGTCGAATGCGGCTCGCCTGAATTGTCCCGTGACGAAAGGTCGCGCAATCCCGGTAGACACGTCACAGATCACTTCAGTGTTCGAATCGGGCGGGCGTATCCGTTTTAGACGTAAATTGTTTTTTATTTTCCCGCTCATGTACGCCTGAAGTTCCGCGTCGCGCTGCTGAGACTCCGCCAAATCGGTGTAGCTGAAAGACTCTACCACTTCTTCCAACCTGGATAGCGCGTCGGCGACAACGTTGTCCTTCCCGGCGATGTGGCGGATGTCGGTGGTGAACTGCCCGATGAAATCCAGGTATCTAAATTGCCTGGGAGAACATTTCTCGGGCTTTTGTTGGAAGGCGAAAGTCAACGGTTTGTGATCCGTGTAGATGGTGAATGTTCGCCCCTCCACCATGTGTCGGAAATGCTTGATTGCCGAGTAAATGGCCAACATTTCCCGGTCGTACGCGCCGTAATTCCGCTCGGCAGCGCTGAGCTTCCTGGAGAAGAAAGCCACCGGCTGCCAATCCTTTCCGACCCGCTGCTGCAGTGCCGCCCCTGCAGCAAAATCGGACGCGTCGCAGAACAAGGCGAGTGGCGCGTCGTCCCTCGGATGCGACAATAACGCCGCCTGCCTCAAACTGTCCTTCGCCTCGGCGAAAGCCGCGGTAGCTTCCTCGGTCCACGCCAACTTGGCGTTACCCTTGATGCCGTCGTGCAGTAGGTTATTGAGGGGCGCTTGTACCTGCGCAGCCCTGGGCATGAAACGCCTATAGAAATTTAGCATACCCAGGAACTGCCTCAGCCGTTTTGCGGTGGTCGGTTGGGGGTAGTTGGTGATCGCCTCCACCTTTGATTCCAACGGGCTGGTGCCTTTGGACGATACGGTGAACCCCAGGAATTTAACCTGCGCCTGGCCGAAAATGCATTTCGCCCCGTTGACGGTCACGCCGTACTTGTCGAGGCGTGAAAAAACTTCCTCCAAGTGGCGCAAGTGCTCCTCTTCCGTCGACGATGCCACCAGTATGTCGTCGATGTACGCGTACACAAAATCCAGGCCGCGCAGCACCTCGTCGATGAAACGTTGAAACGTTTGTGCCGCGTTTCGCAATCCGAACGACATACAGGGGAACTCGAATAGTCCGAAAGGGGTAGTTATCGCGGTTTTGGCGATGTCCTCTGTGGCCACTGGAATCTGGTTATACGCGCGCGCCAGATCTATTGTGGAAAACACCGTCTTCCCGTGAAGCGCGTGAGAGAAGTCCTCGATGTGCTTCACGGGGTACCTATCCGGCACCGTGCGCGCATTTAAAGCTCGGTAATCCCCGCACGGTCGCCAAGCGTCCTGTTCTTTTTTGGGCACCATATGGAGAGGCGATGACCACGCACTTTCCGACGGTCGCGCGATGCCGAGACGCATCATCGTCTCGAATTCTTGTCGCGCGTGCCTCAAACGATCCGGCGCGAGACGCCGGGGCCTACAAGCCACAGGCGGACCCGGCGTTGTGCGGATATAGTGCACCGTTTCATGTTGCACTTGCACGGGTGTCCCCACTGGTCGCGTAATGTTCGGGAAACGTTGCAGCAATTCGTGGAATTTCGAATCACCGAAAATTGTCTTCACCGAGGGCGCCGATGGCCCGCACTCGCGCACTGAGCGTCCTGGCACCGTCATCGACGTCACCTGGTCTAAAAGTTTGCACTTTCCGACGTCCACCAATAGTTCGTAATGCGCGAGGAAATCTACGCCTATAATCGGCTTTGACACGTCGGCCACCACGAAACGCCATGCGAAAACGCGACGGAGCCCGAAATCGAGGCTCAGCGTAACCGTCCCGTACGTGGCAATTTCCGACCCGTTCGCCGCATATAAAACGTAAGATGCGCGTTCGCGGAACCCGCGAGTTTTCGATCGAGGAAAAACGCAGAGATCGGCACCGGTGTCGATTAAAAACTGCGTTCTCGTTACTCGATCGGTGACGAACAAACGGCGCGATGGTGGGCAGTGGTCGCTGGCCGTCATTAACGACTGCCCATCTCGTTTCCCGACGCGGACCAATTGCACGGGTGTTCGCAGCGGAACGCGTTCGCGCCGAACTTGTAGTGGTAAAAACACTTCCCGCCTCGTAGCGCGGTTCGTCGTTCTCGGGATAGCGATCGCGCTCGGCCCGGGGTGGATGGTCGCCGTTGGGAAAAACGCGGACCGGGGTTTATTTCGCGGCGAATTGCTGCGAGCTCCTGCCGAAACGTCGCCGTGAGCTGTGCCATCTTCGAGCACAGTTGTTCCTCGACTTCGCACATATCTCTCGACAACCGTGCGACGGGACCCGCGTGCGCGGGCCCATCGTGTCAGCGATGGTGTCGGCCAAGTCGGCCACTCGGTCGAGCTCGACGTCTCGCTGCGTCGCCAGGATCACCTGCATGCTCGCGGGGAGCCGGCCCAACCACAGGGCACGCAGTATCTCCTCTGACACAGCTGTTCCTCCCAAGGTCCGCAGGTGGCGTAAGAACTGCGACGGTTTGCGGTCGCCCATCTCCTCGTGCTCGAGGAGACGCCGAGTCTTCTGCTCCTGCGACGCCCCGATCCGCCTTATCAGCTCTGTCTTGAGCCTAGTGAACGGCTCAGCCGGGGGATTCAAGATGATTTCGCGGACCTCGGCCGCGTATTCTGGTTTGAGCGCGCCCAGGACGTACCCGAACTTCGTCTTTTCGGTCGTAACGCCGCTCGTCTCGAAACTCGCCTCGACCATCGCGAACCACAGCTCGGGGTCGGTCGGCGAAAATTCCGGTATTTTCACCGTGACGCGGCTGACTGTCGATACGGGCGGAGATGCCATCGTACTGAATAAACGTGCGAATATCCGTGTTCTCTCCCGAATGCTCCCGATCCACTGCCACGAAACAACGAACGAAATGCGACTGCAAAANCGTTTGCACCGAATTTAAAATGGTAAAAACACTTCCCGCCCCGTAGCGCGGTTCGGCGTTCTCGGGATAGCGATCGCGCTCGGCCCGGGGTGGATGGTCGCCGTTGGGAAAAACGCGGACCGGGGTTTATNGGGATCGGCGACGGAAAGAGAAAATCAAACCCGATTACAATCGGACTAGTTTTATTTACAATCACGTTGGTACAAGGCTCGCGATGCCCGCGCACTGCTCCCAACGAAGGTTCTTACCGAACTGTCCCATTCGCTCACTCATGCATCCCATCCAGATCGTTCTTTCCCATTCTCATGGTTCGCTTTCACTCTAAACTGCCTAGACGCATTCATTCTACGCGACACTCACACCAATCGTCTAGACATCCGCTCGACGCTATCGCACAGCATGCAGCCCGGCCCATTCGTCCAAACATTCTTTCGTCTTAAAACTAAACACAAGGCGGAGACGTGGCGCCGGCTTGTCGCCGACACAGGTTAGTTGGTTAGTTAATTGGTTGGTTGGTTGGTTGGTTAATTGGTTGGTTGGTGTGTTTGTCTGATTGGTTGGTTTGTTGTGTTTGCTTGATTGGTTGGTTTGTTGTGTTTGTTTGATTGTTTGTATGGTTGTTTGATTGGTTTGTTTGGTTGTTTGATTGTTTATTTGATGGTTTCATAGTTTTCTTTGTTTGTGTATTTGTTCGTTTGTTTGTTAGTTTGTTTGTTAGTTAGTTAGTTAGTTTGTTAGTTTGATTGTATGTTTGATTGATTGGTTTGTTTGTCTGTCTGTCTGTCTGTCTGTTTGTTTGTTTGTTTGTTTGTTTGTTTTGTTAGTTAGTTAGTTAGTTAGTTAGTTAGTTTGTTTGTTTGTTAGTTTGTTAGTCAGTTAGTTAGTGAGTTAGTTAGTTAGTTTGTTTGTTATTTAGTTTGTTTGTTTGTTAGTTTGTTTGTATGTTTGATTGATTGGTTTGTTTGTTTCTCAGTTTGTTAGTTTGTTTGTTTGTTCGTTTGTTAGTTAATTTGTTTGTTTTGTTAGTTCGTTAGTTAGATTGTTTGTTTATTCGTTTGTTTGATTGGTTTGTTTGTTTGTTTGTTTGTTCGTTTGTTAGTTAGTTAGTTGGTTTGTTGTTCGTTTGTTAGTTAGTTAGTTTGTTTATTTGTTCGTTTGATAGTTAGTTAGTTAGTTAGTTTGATAGGTTTCTTTGTTTGTTTGTTAGTTTGTTTGTGCGTTTGATTGATTGCTTTGTTTGTTTGTTTGTTTGTATGTCAGTTAGTTTGTTTGTTTGTTTGTCAGTTAGTTAGTTTGTTAGTTTCTTTATTTGTTTGTTTGATTGATTGGTTTCTTTGTTTGTTTGTTTTGTTAGTTAGTTAGATAGTTAGTTAGTTTGTTTGTTAGTTTGATTGTTTGTTTGCTTGTTTCATTTGTTTGTTTGTTTGTTTGTTTTGTTAGTTAGTTAGATAGTTAGTTAGTTTGTTTGTTAGTTTGATTGTTTGTTTGCTTGTTTCATTTGTTTGTTTGTTTGTTTGTTTTGTTAGTTAGTTAGATAGTTAGTTAGTTTGTTTGTTAGTTTGATTGTTTGTTTGTTTGTTTCATTTGTTTGTTTGTTTGTTTGTTTGTTTGTTAGTCAGTTAGTTAGTGAGTTAGTTAGTTAGTTTGTTATTTAGTTTGTTTGTTTCCTAGTTTGTTTGTATTTTTGATTGACTGTTTTGTTTGTTACTCAGTTTGTTAGTCAGTTTGTTTGAAAGATTGTTTGTTTGTTCGTTTGTTAGTTAATTTGTTAGTTTGTTTGTTAGTTAATTTGTTTGTTTGTTTGTTAGTCAGTTATTTTGTTAGTTAGCTAGATAGTTTGTTTGTTTTGGGAGTTAGTTAGTTAGTTAGTTTGTTAGTTTGTTAGTTTGTTAGTTTGT